GTAAAAAGAAGTTTTCTTCCCACGCAGTGAGCAGCGGACGCTAATGTTTTTGTCACTTTTTACAGAATCAAACTCAAAGTAAGGTCAGTACTTCTACACTTTAAACGCTGCACGCTCATACTCTCTCCCACACGATATATTATCCATTTTTGATCTGCACACAGCTGTTGCCACAAACGTCGCACTTGCTTACGTCATTGACATGAGACACTCTTGCAAAAAAATCATGGTTTTAGTAACGCAGTAACGCAGCGTGCTTAACGGTAATCTAATTACCTTTTCTGCAATAGTAATCCCTTACTTTACTCGTTACTCGAAAAAAGTAATCGGATTACAGTAACGCGTAGCCCATCTCTGGTGGCCACCCATGGCTCCAATACCATTGTGAAGTTTGCTGATAGCACAGTGGTGTTGGGCGGCCTACATGGATAAAGTGGATCTCCTCAGGCCTGGCATGGTCTGCCCACATTCAGGTCTAATCCAAAAAGGCTAGGCAGTGCCTGTATCATCTATCAACACAGAACATCACATCCTGGTATGGGAGCAGCTGTGTCATATGGCAGAACGCTGAAAATTGAAGGCACCATCCGTCTCACTCTCGGAGAGGAATCAGACCCTGGCACAGGTCTACCCAATCGTCAATATGTACCACGATCTACCCATGGAGCTGCCCTCCATTGGGTCACCCAGCTGTGAGTTGAACAACTTCGCTATTAAAACATCATTTCTGGTGGCTGTCATTGGTTTTCTTAAGGAGCACATTTTGTTCCATCACATAAGCTACCTACATCCACTGAGACCCCCCTGGATAGGAACACTATTAGTTGAAAACTTGCCATATTTTTGCATGGTGCACAGTTTGTCCTCAATAAATTTGAGGAAACTACACAAATTGTAAATGAAAGAACAAAAGTCAGACCTAAAGCAGCAAATGAGCAGTATCTGATAGACGAAAATTCAACAAAGACCTAAGTGACTATCAAGAAACATTTCTTAAAGAATTTAAATAGGGAGAAAAAGCTAGGCTATGTCAAAATACAGAAAAGATGGACTGAAAAGCAGTGGCAACAAGTTATGGAGTGATTAATACAAATTAGAAAGTTTTGGTTCATTGTTAATATTTACAGAGGACATCAGGAGAGATGTACAAGATTGAGTGTCTACACCAATCTAATATAGTGAATGCGATGTTATGCATGGGGCTGCATTTCAGCAAGTGGCTTAATTTTTCAATATGACAAAGATCCGAAACACACTGCCAGTGCAGTAAAATTTGGATAGAGAAACACAAAATGGAACGATATTGGTCACGCAGTGACTCCCCAGAGCTCAGGCTTCAACATTATTGAAGGGATCATTTTGACAGAAAACAAGTAAAGGCATTCAACCACCAAAGAACAGCTTTGGAATTACCTTTTTCCAAAAGATTATTTCACAAAATTACATGAAAGCAAAAGAGAGAAAGAAAGTTAAGGCTATGAAGGAATAAAGGATACAAATCTAGAATTGACTTTCAAGTTCATTAGGAAACATTTTTGATTATGTCAAACAT